GCGGCCTGTTATGCATCAAACTAATATTGCTGTTGAGACAAAATGCAATGCCATCAAGTTAGCATTTTTAAACATTCGCTCACTAAAAAATAAATCATTTCTAATCAATGACTTAATAACCACAAACAACCTGGATTTTATGTTTCTAAATGAAACATGGCTAGAAGACAGCTGCAGTGCAACGGTCCTCAATGAAACAGCCCCTCCTAACTTCACTTTCATGAGTGTTTGCAGGACTGTTAGGAGAGGTGGAGGTGTAGCTGCTCTATTTAAAGATGTCTATCAATGCAAGCAAGTGTCATTTGGTCAGTACTTGTCTTTTGAATATCTAGGGATTGTGTTGAAAGGTGCTCCACGCATTCTGTTTATCATTATTTACAGGCCTCCAAAATACTCTCCAGCCTTTGTTGAAGAGTTCACAGAAATGCTATCAATGATTTCCTCAGAGTTTGACTGTTTTGCTATTGCAGGGGATTTTAATATTCACATAGATAATGCAGAAAACAAAACTACAAAAGAAATTATAACTGTTTTAAATACTTTTGACCTGATTCAGCATGTGCATGAACCCACACACAATCGGGGACATACTCTAGATTTACTCATCAGTAGAGGTCTAAACATTTCATCCATTGTTATTAAGGACGTAGCACTATCTGATCACTTCTGTATTTTCTTTGATATATTGATCTCTGTTACCACTGAATCTAGATCGGTCTCAGTCAGAAAGAGATGCATTAACGAAAACACTAGTGTGCTATTTATGGAGGCTATATCTTTAACACCAAGCATTTCTGCAGACTCTGTTGATCTTCTCCTTGATTCCTTTAACTCAAAAGTTAAGAATGTTATTGATGACATTGCTCCTTTGAAAGTCAGCAGGAAGACTGGCAGACAGAAATCAGCTTGGAGAAAATCAACAGCAGTTCAGAGTATGAAAAGACAATGCAGAAAAGCTGAGCGGATGTGGCGGAAGACGAAACTTGAAATACACTATAGCATATATAAAGACAGCCTTCGTACTTTCAATGTGGAACTAGGCAAAGCTAGACAGTCATTCTTCTCAAACCTTATAAACAGTAACTTAAACAACACTCGCACTCTTTTTGCTACTGTTGAGAGACTGACAAACCCCCCAAATCAGATTGCCAGTGAAATGCTCTCCGACAGCAAATGCAATGAGTTTGCTTCCTTCTTTTCTGAGAAGATCAATAATATCAGGAAGGCGATTAGCACATCCCCAAGTTATGCAGAGGTTAGACATATTCGACCACAATATCAAAAAGAAGATACTATGTCTGCTTTTGAAGAAATTGATAGCAAAATTTTGGAAGAAATAGTACAGCACCTTAAATCGTCAACATGCTATCTTGACACACTTCCCACATATTTTTTCAAAAGGGTGCTTAACTGTTTGGAAGCAGATCTCTTAGAAGTGGTGAACGCCTCACTTCTTTCTGGGACTTTTCCAAACTCCCTGAAAACTGCAGTTGTTAAACCCCTTCTGAAAAAGAGAAATCTTGATAACACCATATTGAGCAACTATAGACCAATATCAAATCTTCCTTTTATAGGAAAGATTATTGAAAAGGTAGTCTTTAATCAGCTGAACAAATACTTAAACTCAAATGGATACCTGGACAATTTTCAATCTGGTTTTCGACCGCATCACAGCACAGAGACAGCACTCATTAAGATAATAAATGATATTCGCTTAAATTCTGAATCTGGCAAAATATCAGTGCTGGTACTACTAGATCTCAGTGCTGCGTTTGATACTGTCGATCATAACATACTACTAGAGAGACTGGAAAACTTGGTTGGGCTTTCTGGCATGGTAATTAAATGGTTCAGGTCATACTTAGAAGGGAGAGGTTATTATGTGAGTATAGGAGAGCATAAGTCTAAGTGGATGTCCATGACATGCGGAGTCCCACAAGGCTCAATTCTTGCACCGCTCTTGTTTAGCCTGTATATGCTCCCACTAAGTCAAATAATGAGAAAGAACCAAATCGCCTATCACAGCTATGCAGATGATACCCAGATTTACCTAGCCTTATCTCCAAATGACTACAGCCCCATTGACTCCCTCTGCCAATGCATTGATGAAATTAACAGTTGGATGTGCGAGAACTTTCTTCAGTTAAACAAAGAAAAAACCGAAGTCATTGCATTTGGAAACAAAGATGAAGTTCTCAAGGTGAATGCATACCTTGACTCTAGGGGTCTAACAACTAAAAATCAAGTCAGGAATCTTGGTGTGATTCTGGAGACAGACCTTAGTTTCAGTAGTCATGTCAAAGCTGTAACTAAATCAGCATACTATCATCTCAAAAACATTGCAAGAATTAGAGGTTTTGTTTCCAGTCAAGACTTGGAGAAACTTGTTCATGCCTTTATCACCAGCAGGGTGGACTATTGTAATGGTCTCCTCACCGGCCTTCCCAAGAAGACCATTAGACAGCTGCAGCTCATCCAGAACGCTGCTGCCAGAATTCTGACTAGAACCAGAAAATCTGAGCATATTACACCAGTCCTCAGGTCCTTACACTGGCTTCCAGTTATATTTAGGATTGATTTTAAAGTACTTTTACTTGTTTATAAATCACTCAATGGCCTAGGACCTAAATATATAGCAGATATGCTCACTGAATATAAACCTAACAGACGACTCAGATCATTAGGATCGAGTCAGTTAGAAATACCAAGGGTTCACACAAAACAAGGGGAATGTGCTTTTAGTTATTATGCCACCCGCAGTTGGAATCAGCTTCCAGAAGAGATCAGATGTGCTAAAACATTAGTCACATTTAAATGCAGACTCAAAACTCATCTGTTTAGCTGTGCATTTATTGAATGAGCACTGTGCGATGTCCGAACTGATTGCACTATATTATATGTATAATCGTTTTCTTAAATTCATTTTAAACCTCTTAAATCAATTTTTTTTAAATAATTTTCAAAGTTTTTAAATTCCTTGTTTTATTGTTGTGATTATTGTTTTTATTTTATTTTATGTAAAGCACTTTGAATTACCATTGTGTATGAAATGTGCTATACAAATAAACTTGCCTTGCCTTGCCTTACAATGATCAAAAGCTTTTGTTTAATGTGCAACACTTTTGCTAGTATAATGTTTGTTAATGGTTTATTCATGAAGCTTTTAATTATTGTAAACCATCTGTCAAAATCATATGAAGATTGTTAAAGAGTGCATATGAATTATGTGTTAAAGAGTTTCCTATGAATTATCATATGAATTGAAAGTTTAATGATATGAAATTTAGTATAATGATAATTAAGTTTAATAAAGCATTTCAATTTACATAAAATAATGATCTGTTAATCAATAGTTTTATTAATAGAATCATTATAAAAATTAAAGCACATTGTCTCATATTTCTAGCTATGTGAGTATATAATAACTAACAATCTGTTAAGCTTTATAGTGTATGTATGTTAGTTATTGAAATGAAAGTAAGGACATTAGAATTGTATTGAAAGTTATAATGAAGTGTTACCAATATCCGTGCAGCACTCTATGGTGTGCTTTATTTTGTTTGTTTGTTTATGCGTTTACAGAGGGAGGAGAATAGGATCAGTGGTTCTCAGCTCCGGTCCTGGGCACCCAAAGCTCTGCACATTTTATTTATTTAACACTCTTGTTGCTGCAGTTATATGATGCATACAGTACATCAGAACTGCCAGCTGACAGATTCAAATAGTGACTTATGTTTCAGTCTGTTTTTCACAAAAGCAATCGAATAACTTAAAAAAAAAAATCTGGAATATAGAACACAGATCTTACATTTGTGAAAATACTTGAAAAAAAAAAAGAAGTTTGAAATGTATGGGTTTGTAGTTGGAGACAATATTATGTGTAATATTAATTTATAAGATATTGCACTAAACTCTGGGAGTATCACACTAAGAGAGGCCTTGTGAGGTATTCAACTGTTCTAAAGTAAAGTCAAGTCACCTTTATTTATATAGCGCTTTTAACAATACAGATTGTGCCAAATCAACTTTACAGTATTGAATAGGAAAATAGTGTGTCAATGCAAAGTGACAATAGTAAACACTCATTTTTCAGTTAAAGACCGTTCATCATTGAATTCAGTGATGTCATCATCCAGCTCAGTTCAGTTTAAATTGTATCTGTGCAATCAAGTCGACGATATCGCTGGAAATGAAGTGTCCCCAACTAAGCAAGCCAGAGGCGACAGCGGCAAGGAACCAAAACTCCATCAGTGACAGAATGGAGAAAACCCTTGGGAGAAACCAGGCTCAGTCAGGGGGCCAGTTCTCCTCTGGCCAGACAAAACCAGCAGTTCAATTCCAGGCTGCAGCAAAGTCAGATTGTGCAGAGGACTCATCTTTTTCCTGTAGTCTTATCCCGGTGGCCGTCTAGGAGACAAGGTCTTCACTGGGGATCTGAAAAGTGAGCTGGAAGAAGCATCAGCACACTAGCATGTAGTGCTAGTGATGATAACTGGAATTCTGGGAACTCCCACCCTGTCTGACAATGAGAAAACAAAACAATTGATAAAAAAGACAAGTTTCAAAGTAGGCTACTTCAAAATCTGAATTTATGGAAATGTAAATGAGACTCACAAACTGGACTTAGTAAAGCAGAGTGAGATACATCTGGATCCGGATAGTTTGTCATATGAACCAGCTGTTATCTTTTGGGAGCTCTCAAGAGCTGCTTTCTCATTCCATTCCTTTCTTTTCTTTCTAACAGTTACCATATCTCTCCTACCAATCCTCGTGTTTCTTTCTTGCCAAAACATTCTGAATCTTTCACATTTAGCTGAGGAATGCCTTACAATGTGCTTCTGTGCTTCACAGATCTGCTCTGCTCTTTCTTTCTCTTCATGAATTTGCCCATTGTTTCCTCTTTCCTCTTGACCTCTTGACCTCTTTTCCCAAACATCCTGTAGTGACTGCCCCATATTCTTCCCTCCCACTGTTTTCTTCTCATGTTTCTCTTTCCTGGGCTGTTGCACAACTGCGTTGTTTTCATCTTGGTGGTTCTGTCACAGACACATGCAGGTATTTGACAAGCTTTCGTACTGATCTTTTAGCACTGTTTGGTTACTTGCTTGCTTTTGATCACAACATGCCCATGAATTACATGATTACCACAGTTACAGTTTGCTGAAATGACTTATTTTTGAATGAGTATGAAAAATGGTTTGGAATTGACTGGAAGACAGAAAACGAAAAGGTTTTGAGATTGGATACACAGCATTAATGACAGACAGATACGGTGTTCTAGTTGGTTCCTAACCAGTTGCTAGTGTGTTGAATGTGACGGTTAGCTTGTTCAGGGTGGTTGTTAAAGCATTGGTAGGCAGGTGGTCACTAGGCAGACTATTGCTATGGTGTTCTAGGTGATTACTCGGGCATACAGGCAAGAGGTAGATTATAGCACACTAAGGCAGAAGAATAGTTTTGTCAAATTATTTTTATACACATTCATAGAGTGAAAAATTAGACCCTTACAATTTCAGAACTCCACATTTTTATAGCCACATTTTCAGGAATCGTGTGCTGTGAACAGAAAAACCCTGGAAATGTAGTTGTTTGTGACAATACAATCACTCCGCTTGTGT